CGGACGTTGTGAGGATGGGCGATGCGCTGGGTGCGGAAGGCGGGGAGGCGGATGCGATGAAGCCGGTGGATGAGACGATGATTCGCAGTGCTGGTGCTAGTGGGCCGGGGTCGCCTGTGAGACAAGGGCAGGGTGCGGGGACGGTAAAGTTGGGTGCGGCGCCGGCGCCGGGTGTGGGTGCGAGGAGGTGAGGTGTGCGGTGCGCGGTGCGGTGTGATGATATCCTTTCAAATCCTTCTCTTCTCTCTCTTTCTCTTCTCTGCTGTTTCGTTAATGATTGCTTTGATTATATGTTCCTCTAGACGATACAGTAACCACTTGTCTCCCCTTTTTTTACGACCCTTCCTTTTTTCTTTTTCTTGTTTAAACTGCGTGAGTATACTGTGATCTGCGAATTAATTAGTCTGCTACTACAGTAAAGCTACTTTTGATAGCTATTTTTGGGGGATCCCGTGCTACGTGGTATCCCCACTAACCTCATGAACCACACTTTTGTGAAACAATAGGATGGTCTTGGAGCGAGAAGTGGTGGTTACGGACGAAGTCCGCTTCAGACCCGTAAAATTTGTGCTGTTTTTTTTTTACCTTCGAGCAACAGTGACGTCCAAAACCTCGTCCAATGGAAATAATACTAATGGCAGATCAGATCGAGCCTATCCATAGTACATGCAGTCCGTCATTGTTTAGTTCGCGTGTGCGTGACAAAACGAGAGAAGAACATTCAAGCAAGATTCCTATAAAAAAGATAAAGAAGAGGAAAAGAAATCGTCGAAACGGAGAATGGAAGTCCTGATTGAGCCGATTCGGGCGTTTGAACCTCTGTATAATTCCAGTGTCCACTTGAGGATATGGCCGTGTGGCGAAATGGCATCGCGTCTGACTACGATATTGGCATTATTGTGAAATCAGGAGATTGCAGGTTCGACCCCTGTCTCGGTCATTTCTGTTTTTCTTTAGCTTTCCTTGCTCCATTCAGGACTCTATCATTACAAGAGTAGTGCAATTGGTGATGAGATGTGACTCTTGTGCTCAACACTTTGCATTGCACTCCCTGACACTCACCATGAGATGTCTAGTGACCCAATTCATATCATACAATGACACATCAGTGATTTATAATCTATATCGCCTTCCTCCCTGTGCTGTCAGGTTATGCTGACCATGGGGGCTCAGTCCACTGGGCAAATCCTTACGTGGCACACACAATGTCCACAAACACAATGGTACTGTCAAGAGTGTGGGGCATGTGAGACCAGGGTAAGGCTAGAGATGCAAGCGGTGGTTGAGTGGGTGATCACCAGTTACGCCCAAGTAAGAATGCAAGTGCCAGGGATGGGAAGGGAGTTGGAGGACAAGTTCTGGGGTAAGCACAAGTCCTGGGAATGCAAGGGAAGAGGGGAAGATGAGTGCCGGTGTGTGAGCAAGTCCCAGGG